TCATCATCACCATCATCATCATCACCATCATCATCATCACCATCATCATCATCACCATCATCATCACCATCATCATCATCACCATCATCATCATCACCATTATCATCACCATCATCATCATCACCATCATCATCATCACCATTATCATCATTATCATCGTCATCATCATCGTCGTCGTCGTCTTTATGTAATGGTAATCCTTGTCTACATCACCATTACAACTATTATCATTGTCATCATCATAATCATCATTCCCACCATCGTTATCATTATCATCTTCGCTATCGTCATCATCATCGTTGTCGTCGTCACCATCATTGCTATCAACTCACCCAAGCATGAAAACACCACACCTATCTGTCTAAGAAATTATGAATTAACCTTTCGAATGTTATTATTATTTCTATTATTGCTATTATTATCACTACTAATGTCTGTATTTTTATTTTTTATAATACAAATAATTATTATTGACAACAACAACAATAACAACAACAACAACAACATGAAAACCAGCGACAACAACAACACAGCCACAACAACAAAAACGTCAACAATACAACAACAACTACAAAAACCTCAGCGACAACAACAACAACAAAATAAACAACAACAATGAAATTATTTAAAAATAATGAGGAAAAAAACAGAAGTAAAATAATTAAAAAAAAGCGAATAAAAATGAGAAAAAATACCTGACACATACCTAAAATAAAAACAGAAAAAAAATAAATTCAAGCATTGATACAAAACAAAATAAAAAAATTAAAATATACTATTAAACAGAGCAACGATAACATTAACTAATAATGTTAGTGTTATCATTTTTCATTGATCACTATGTCAACATGATATTTTTTAATATCATCCATCACCATCTTATCAAAATTATCATTTTAATTACATCATTATTGTAGTCACATCGCTTTTGTAGTCATATCAACGTCATCATCGTCAACGTCATCGTCACCTCCATCACCACATTGTTGTTATAATTGCTATCATCATCTTCATCATCTTGGTTGTTGTTATATCATCATGATCTTCATCATTATCCACGAAGACACCTCAATGTGAGTGAGTGAGTGAGTGAGTGGGTTGATGGTGATGGGGGGGGGGTTTATAAAATTCTGTCTGACCATAAAAGAAATATAACACTGAAATATTAATGGTGATGATGAGACGATGATGATGATGAAGAAGACGGGGATGATGATGAAGATGATGATGAAGATGATAATAATGATGAAGACGATGATGGTGATGAAAACGATGATGATGATGAAGACGACAATGATAATGAAGACGATGATGATGATGAAGACGATTATGATGATAAAGACGATGATGATGATGAAGACGATTATGATGATAAAGACGATGATGATGATGAAGACGATGATGATGATGAAGAAGACGGGGATGATGATGAAGATGATGATGAAGATGATAATAACGATGAAGACATTGACGATGATGGTGATGAAAACGATGATGATGATGAAGACGACAATGATAATGAAGACGATGATGATGATGAAGACGATGATGAAGACGATGATGAAGACGATGATGATGATGAAGACGGTTATGATGATAAAGACGATGATGTTTAAAGTGTGATGATGACATGATACAAATTAAATGTTGGCATGAAAGAGATGACAGAAATAATTTTATGATGATGCAACGATGACGTTAAATATATAATGATCATCATTGCAATTGGGATGATTTTCAGTCGCGACTATGCGTGGCTGGCAGTCGCAAGTGAAGTCGCGACTAGTCTTATATATATAAAACAATATATATATATATATATATATATATATATATATATATGTATATATATATATATATATATATATATTTAATTGTGTGTGTGTGTATGTGAGTTCGTGTGTTGTAGGTGTGTGTGTGGGTATGTGAGAGTATACAAGCGATGCATGTACGCAAGTTGATCAAAGAGATATTCATCCATTGAATGAGTGAAGAAAAAATTCTCGGTGTCTTGTGTCTTAATCAAGAAGAAACTCTCCTTCCTGATACAGTTTCATCATTAGTATTATTAATTTCAAAAAATTCATAGTGACATTATTGATATTGTTTTAAAAATTCTAAATTCTTAATTTAGCATTTTGTTTAAAAAAGTTGAAATTGATTTTAAAAAATTTGTTGTCAACGAAACCAAACAGTACTTCTATAGTAATCAAAAAAACGACATTCTCCATTTACGATTCCGATTCATACAAGCAAAGATTGAAATGTCCATCAGCTCAGCTAACGAGTTAACCAACATCAGATGAACAAACTTCCTACCTCCATGTCTGGTTGAAAAACAAATTAAAAGTCATTCCAGTTTTTGTGTGAGTTGGATTCACTTCATTATGATGATAGAATTTTTCCTCTCTCCATCAGCAGATTCAGTTATACTCGCTTCATCATTGTGCAACACTTTAAAGTCTGGATAAATTGGAATTTATTTTCTTCGCTAGATTATTTAAATTTTTATTAGAAATTTTCTAAATTTATATCTAAGTATAATGTTAATATATTTTCATGTAACAAAAGCTGACAAAACTGCAGTATGATTTTTTTCTATTTTGTTGATGTATGCAGTTGTTTCGAAATAATGAAGTCAATAGTTTGAAATACACTCATTCTTATAAATTCAAAATTGATACATCAAAAACACTTACACACACATTCACAGACGTCTAAACAACTCCCACACACACATGCACGCAAAATAACCATACACAAAATCATAAACACACAAACACACGCACACACAAACATAAAATTAGCACCTGCCGACAGCATTTTAATTATTTTGTGATTTTACTTTGCACCAAACATGAAAAAAGTTGTTTATAATTAATCATCGTTAAAGTTGCAGAATGGCAAATTGAAAGTCTGGGCTCTGTGCTAGTTCAAAAAATTGGACTCAAATTTTTTATTTCGTTTTAAAAATGTTTTTGTTCATAGTCAAGGATTCCATTAATTATATTAATTATAATTAATTATCCTTAGCTGCAATATCTTTTTACACCGATTTAATTTATGATTTTGTACATTTAATTTATCGTGTATATGTTATAATAATTTTCTTCTAGTGTTGTAATTTTTTGAAGTACAATTTAAGTGAACGAAAACAAGGTGACAGAAGCAAAGATAATTTCATCACTAATACACGTTTTTGGAAATATAAAAATGCTACAAACATTTCTGCTATGTTACTATTACAACATTGATCAAAACGATACTATTACTACTGCTACTACTTCTACTACAACTTCTACTACCACTACTTCTACTGTTGCAGCCACTAGTTCATTACAGATCTTGCTTCTACTACCATTACTATTACGCCGCTGCTACTGCAGGTACTACAACTACTATACTACTTCTACTTTTGCTACTACTTCTGTTACTACTGCTGCTTCTGCTACAACTACTACTGCTGCTGCTAAAAATAGCGATAACAACCATGTAAATAATAGCAGAATGAGCTGTGTGGATGAATTGAAGGAACGAAGCATTTTATTAACGCTGGGAGGAGAGAACTTTAAATTAAGATTCGATTTGGTCGTTGATGTTTTATTAATGACTCTGTCTGTCTGACGTCATCATCATTTTCGTCCTCATCATCACCTTCATCATCACCTTTATCATCACCTTCATCATCATCCTCTTCACCATCGTCACTATCGTCGTTGTCATCGTCACCATCATCGCCATCACTAAACTTTTTTTGAGTATCAACAATCACACTGTCATAAAGATTACAAACCTGTTTTACTCAATTTTCTCATTCATTCATCATCACCAGCAATAATCATCATTTTTCCTATTACCATAAACAACATCATGACAGTATTATCATTTTTTTGTGTGATAACAATCAGCGTACATGCAGTCATCATCTTGGTCTGTTGTTAAATAACTTGCTGCTAATCATCTTCATCATTTTCAGAATACCTAGAATCATTTTCATCATCATAAAAAACGTCTTAACATCTTCATAATGCAATGCTACTCGTTTATGTAGTCAGTACAAGAATTGCTCAAGAGCAGTGTGCAGCAACGTATCAGCCACAACAACCGCAACATCGTCAGCAGCACCAGCCGATGCAGCCGCAGACTCAGCGACATAGTCAACAAAGAGCAACCTTAACACTCGTTAACCCAATTTATTTGAACTACTTTCCGGGCTCGCCATTGGCTGACTGCCACATTGAGGTCAGATCGAAACCAGGTCAGTTCATCGTTGTTACCTTTCATGGTTTTGCCGGTGAAGAGGAAGATGACGATGATGATGCGACCGATGATGGTAATGATTACGAGAGAAGAATTGATCTTAGAAAGAGAAATGTAGTTGACTACATCAACAGCCACAACTTTAATAGGAATAAGAACATCATCAACAACAACATCAACAACAACATCAACAACAACATCAACAGCAACAACAGCAGCAACAACAACAACAACATCAACAGCTTTGATGATGACGATGGTAATTGCATAACAATCGCATCCATCTTAGACTCACCTACTACAAAGTCATCACCATCATCTTCATCATCATCATCATCTTCATCATCTTCATCTTCATCATCTTCATCATCACCGCCATCGTCATCTGCCGTTCAGTTGTGCTGCTGCAAGAGAAACAAGAAATACATAAGCATACAGCCAAAGAATAAAAATACAAACATTCATCATCCCCACTTCCACAACCTTCATCATCATCCCCATCGCTACAATCATAATCATTACCCCTCCTCCCAACTGAAATCATCATCAACATCTTCCTCCTCATCTTCATCCTCCTCATCATCATCTTCCTCATCATCTTCTTCCTCTTCACCATCATCAGCAGCGATTTATCTATCACACAGTAGTGAAATTACCCTAACATTTTCGGCCCTAAATAACGATGGAAAGCCATTGCATCGGAGTTATGTTGAGGCGGCCCACACGAACGCAACCAGCTTAAGTGTCGTTAAGGTACTGGTTGGATTCCAAGGTGAGAATTTTAAAGCATTTAACTGGAGGAAAAATTTATTTATTTAATTTTTATTTTTTTCTGTCCGAAAGTTTTGTCAGCGTAGTTTTGAGGTTTGAAAGTTTATATTCAAAAGAATAAATTATTCATATTTAATTGAATTACAATTAATTAAGGTTTAATTAACCTTTATTAATGTTTAATTAAATTAATTATATTTGTAGTTATGTAAGAGCTATTTTTTTATGAAGTTTGAAATGAAACTAAATTAAATTTTTTTAAATTTCTGAAATAATAATTTTGTTGGCTGTCCATTCTCTGCTACCTTTCATATCACGAAAATATTTTATTTTTGTTTTGTTTTGAGATGCAGTTGTCATCATCATCGTCAGCAGCATCATCATCATCATCATCATCATCATCACCATCATCATCATCATCATCATCATCACCATCATCATCATCATCATCATCGTCATCATCATCTATTTTCATCATCATTATCATTATCATAATCGTCATCAACAACAACATCAGTACCACCATTATCATCATTATCCTCATCGCCATCACAATCATCACCATCATCAACATCATTACCATCGCCATAATCATCACCACTATCACTATAATCATCACCAGCATCACCACCATCATCATCATCATCTGCAAGAACAAAATCTGCGGAGACCCAATAAGAATGATATAAATATATCGCGGCGACAATCGTTACCATCCGAACCAACGTCCATTCTATATTCTACGACCTCCCCGACTGACTCCATGCAGAAAGAAGAAATTAAAATAAAATTACGAATAATATGAACGAATACTAATAGCGATAAATAATACTAATAATAGACTATAATAATTATAATAATATTAATAATGAATATGACAATACTGGTTATAGTAGTAGTAGTCTGATGATTATAGTAGTAGTAGTAGTAGTAGTAGTAGTTTTAGTAGTAGTAGTAGTAGTAGTAGTAGTAGTAGTAGTAGTAGTAGAAGTAGAAGTAGTAGTAGTAATAGTAGTAGTAGTAGTGGTATTAGTAGTAGTGGTTGTAGTAGTGGTAGTATTAGTGGTAGTAATAGTAGTAGTAGTAATCTTCTTTCTCGTACCTTATCCTTTCAAGACATTGGCGACCATCGACCTATACAAACCCCGATCTTTAAACACTTTGTAGCAATCGAAATTATTTTTTGCCACTATAGCTCCTATTATATTAATATATTGAAGAGTCTGTACTCTTTAAATAATAATTCACTTCTAATTTTACCTTTTCTAATTTTCTAAAATTATTCTCTCCAGAGTATCAACATTAATGACGACATGTAACTTTTAAATTTTAGCAAATTCACGCCTCATTTATATTGTATGTACTAGAGGGAGATTTCGTTGCATATTTTTACAATAAGAAATATTTCACCAGTGAAGAAACACGTGTTATTGTAAATGTTGGAAATCTTTCCAAGTTATTAATAATTTTATAAAATGCAGCCTGGACATGCGTAGATCCAGTTATGACGTCACCACATGTCAGAGTCATCAGGGATGGAGGCCATGCTGACGTCACATGCTCATCATCATCTTCATCATCTTCATCATCTCCACCATTATCATCATCATTGTCGTCGCCGGAACCTACCTGGCATCTTGTATGCTGGAATGGGACGTGGGAGGAAATTTCTGGAAGGATTGTCGGAGAGGGTTGCATTGATGGTTTGTCGTTGTTGTCGTTGTTGTTGTTGTCGTTGTTGTTGTTGTCGTTGGAGATCCTTTTTTAAAAAAAAATCTTTCCATAACATTCTCCAGAGTTTTCAACTATAAAAACTGAGTATTCATAGAAACAAGTAGATGGTCGTAAGACACATATTGAATGTGATCTGCGGAGACTTATTTGCATTTGAATCTAGTCACCACAACAGCAGAGCCAGGCGTCTTAACCACTACACCATCACGGTGACCATGTTGCTGACGATGCTGTTGATGACCGAAACTGGTGATGAAAATTTGGTGGGATGATGATTATGCAGCGGTTAAAAACGCCCTACGATGACGATGACGATGATGATGAAGATGATTTTAATTGCGATGGCGTTTTGTTGACGATAACATACTCATTGTGATGATGACAAAGAGTGAAAATATTATCATTTTTTTTGTATTTTAGATCTTTGATATTTTCATTGCAACGTCATTATTACATCATTCCACAGAACAGAATTTGGCGAACAAAATCGGCGAATCAAAATTCAAATGGAAATCTTCATACGGTATCTTTTGTGGAATTTTCGTGTATACACTCACACACACATACACTCACACACACACTCACACAAACACACACGCACGCACACACTCACATAAATTTTTTAAGGTTTTCCAAATAGAAATATAATGGTTTATATTGAATGACATACAAATGTGAAAGCATAGAGATATGTTTATATTTGTATGTCTGTGTATTTGTGTGTGTGTGCGTGTATGTGCTCGGGTATTTGTATCTGCGTGCGTGTTGTGTGTGCGTGCGTGTGCGTGTGTATGTGAGCGTAAAAGCATAGCCTACTAATTTGTTTGCGCAATTTTGAAATTATTAGTTTAGTGTTTCTGCATGCCAATAACATTTGTTAATTTGTCTGATGGTAGGTATGTTTGCAGCCATGGCTACACGCATGTCCACACACACTAATGCATAATAATCATTTCAACGATATTTCAAGAGTGACCAATAAAAGATCATAAATATTTTATAATCTTTGACACGTGATGTGAGTGCGAGCGCGTGCGCCGGCCACAAACCGGAAGTTTATTGGAGGTATTTCCGGTCGGCGATTGCGGCAGGTAGTCGCTACATTGATGGTGGTAGTAGTGGTGGTTGTGGAGATGATGATGACGATGAGGATGATGAGGAGATTGATGATGATGACGCTGAAACCTAACGGTTTAAAATATAGATGGCTATGACGTTAAATATGATGACGATGATGTTGTTGTTGTTGTTTTTGAGGTTGTTGTTGCTGCTTCAGCTGACGATGATGACGATGATGAAAATTATGAAGTATTTGACGATGGTGTTGGTTATGATGATAACGATGTAGATTGATGAAGATGTCAGTGACCACAAAACAAAAATGAATACTGGCAATGTTAACCACGATGATGACGATGATGAGATAGCATCAGTAATTATCATCTTTTCAGAATATGATGATAAATTCGTATGTAAGAAAGTTGATAGTGGTGTTATTTTAACACGATACGAATGATAACATTAAAAACTTCTTACATTAGCATTAAATAATCAGATTTGTAAAACATCTGAAAGATTGTAGAATCAACCAAATGAATTTGCTTTTGAAGAAAAAAAATCTAAAAAGCGAAATTGAAAACGTATTGAACGAAAGAATGGCAGATATATATAATAAAAAGAAATAACTTCATATTGACCTGCCTGATGAAATTCTGATAACAATCCATCCATTCATCCATCTGTCTGTCTGTCTGTTGGAAGAATAAAAATTGAATTCAACCGAGCCAATGAAACAATCCATCAGTCAATCAATCAATATATCAATCAATCAATCATAGAAATAAATCAATCAAACTATTTGATTGATTGATTGATCGTCTGATAAATCCATCACTGCATCGTATCATTCAGATTTTTTGCACCATGCTTAGCACAGAGCAAATATGGATTTTTTTTCTCAACGAAATAAAGTTAAAGTTATCGTCATTTTTATTGTTATTGTCACATTCATCATCTTCATCATTTTCTACATGCATTTTTTTATCATCCTCTCACTGTCACCATCTTCTTCAGAAAAATGATTGTTGTTCTATAAATTTATTTATAATAAAATTAAGGTATATTTCTTTATCAATTATTTCAATCATTTTCATTATCACCATATCACCATTACCATCATAATTTCCATCATCATCATCATCAGTAGCAGCAACATTATTATCATCATACGTTATCATCATCATCATCATCCACTATCATCATCATCATCCTTACTAGAAACATCATCATCACAACCACTAGCAATACCATCATCACCACCACTAAAAACATCATCACCACCACCATCACCACTAGCAAAATCATCATCATCCCCACTAGCAATATCATCATCATCACCACCATTAGTAACATCATCATCATCACTAACTACAACATCATCATCATCATCACTAACAACAACATCATCATCAGGTAGTTGGTTCTTATTAACAGTTTTTGTAGCCCTGGGTGGAGTGTTGAGTTTCGGACTGATGGCGATTTTCTTGTCACACAAGAGGAGGTCAGTCGCGATCGTTACTACCACTGCCGTTGCTAAAGCAGCTACTACTACTACTGTTTTTACTAATTTTTTTTACTGCTGCTGTTATTACTCATGTTTCTGCCTTCACTACTACTACTACCACTAATACTACTGCTGCTAATATCATTGCTACGACAACTGTTTATATTACTTCTACTTTTTTTGTTACTAATAATGCTGCTGCTAATACTACTACTACTACTACTACTACTACTACTACTACTACTACTACTACTACTACTACTACTACTACTATTACTACTACTACTACTACTACTACTACTACTATTACTACTACTTCTACTACTACTTATTCTACTTTCTCGACGACGTTCGCTACTACTGCCGCTACTACTTCTACCACAACTGCAACTGAGTACTATGATTGCTGCTACTTGCACTTGTACTGTTTCATAGTTTAATGATTGTTTTTAGGATTTGTACTGATACCAAGTTTTTAAGTTTGACTGGTACCGAAATCATCATGTCACAGTACTTACTACTAATACCCCTTTCAATTTTACTACATCAGATTCTTTCAATCGCAGTGCAGTATCGAGTATTGAAATTTGTTACTGATTTTAATAGTACAACATCTAATATTTTAAATTCACTGCATAGCGACAAGAATAATAATCAAATATATTATCATCGACAATGATTTTTTTTCGCCTAACAATTTGTATTTCCTCTCTGAATCTATGTTTATATTTTTATCATCGTTATTGTATAGACTTTTTGTGTAGAGCTAGTTGTAAATTAGCTTACAATCGTCCTCTAAATAACATATGTCATAAACAACTGTATGAGAGGTGCCACTGATAATATGGGCTTTGTTTGTTGTCGATGACAACTCTGTTTTTTCTTTCTCTGTCTTACAATTTATTTGTATTTAAACTGCATGTTGTTGAAGTTGTTTTAGAAATCATTGAATGTAAAAAATAATGTTGAACATTTTTGTTTAAAAATCGCGTAAATTTATTCATTTTAATTTTCTACTGACTGCTTCAGAAACTGTTACAAACTCTTCCCGCCAATCCAAGCAGTGACCTCAGTCGCCACATCGGCGACATCCACGCTGCCAACCACCACAGTGAGCCAAACGACTGCAACCAAGGTCACAACATGCCTCTCTAGACCAAACAGCAACAACAACACCATCAACAACAAAAAAACTTTGCAACCACAAGAATTAAGAAATAATACTAAAAACAGAGCAACTCTCAACCAATCGCGAATCAGTAGTATGGGTCTCGAGTTCAACGACCTATTTTTTGAGCCAATCAACTGCGACGACAACGAGTCGTGTTGCCAATGTTGCCAGAACAATTTCAACAGCGAAAATGTTGACACATTCGTCAACTTCAACCACGACAACCTCGACAACTCAATCAAAAACAACGTTTTCTGCCAGGAGTGTAACAGCTGCCTTTCAGCGGTCGAGCTTTTTACAGCACCTCCTCTTTGTTGCTCAACAGATGTCAGCAACACTGATTTCAAAAACAATAAATTCCTCTTCATGAACAAACACGACAGCTTATCGAAGCAGAACAAACACTAGCAAAATACCTTGATGATCGTACGGTTTTTTTTAAATGGTCCAAGAGTAAACCGGATGTACACAGTCACACACAGTGAAATATGGTAGAATGGATGCCATAATGATATATATAAATGATAATTTGTTTTTTTACATTTAATCATCCAATTCTTCATCAATATTTTTTTTAAAGCGCTTAAAACTTTTAATTTTTTTTTCGTTTTTTTCACACACTAACGTTCAACTAACATTACCAACAGTGTATACATTTTGTTTCCAAATATTCGCTAGAGTTCTTCTAGGTTCATAATTTTTTTTAATTTATTTAATTTCATCAATTTTTTTATTGAAACAAGTTAAAAAGAGTTTATAAAATTGTGTGTCTTGAGTTGTTGAAAATATTGTGAATAAACTGGATGAATTGGATAATTAATAAATAATTAATAAATAATAATAAAATTAATCACAACAATCATATATTAATCATATATATCATAACAATCATGATTAATATATTAATCATATATTAATAATAAGGTAGGATTAAAATAATAATAATAAATAAATAAATTGAATAGAAAAGTGGGTGTCGTGTCAACATAACACTTATTTTGTAATTCAATCTATTTGAAGAAAAAACCACGAACACCAAATGAAGTTCGGGCTTCTTGAAATGGTATGTAACTTGTTGAAACCTTTGCTGGCCTTGCTTTGAAAAGTGGAAGTGAATGTGTCGAGTAATGTCTTGTTACAAACAAAAAGCAGAAACTTTACATTACTGTTAGAACCGAAATGATTCATTAAGGATTTGTTTTGAAGTTCTTTTTTTATAAGGAGACTGGGCAGTAACTCAGTGTACTTTGTCTTTAGTTTGGCGTTTGGCCCTGTTTGTAGAGGATAAACGTTTACACACACACACACACCACACACACACACACACACACACACACACACCACACACACACACACACACAACACATACAAACAACACAAACACACACAACACATACAAACAACACAAACACACACAACACATACACACAAAACAAACACACACAACACAAACACATACACACTCACAGAAACACAATTGTATGTACTCACAATCAAGCATCGCCTGTCATTAAAGTTCTATTTCATCAAAACCCTCTTCAATCACGACAACTTGTTACACTGCTTATGTTTGTTGCGTCTTACTGCATAGCCTAGTCAATCCTTACAGCAAGTTGGCAAACATTGTCAGAAATCTACGGTTATATTCACAATAGTACACCCAACACTTCCGATAATTTTTCAAACTCCATTTTTCCACATTGTTTCATTCGTGTTTGGCAAGTTATCACTGATTAATAAAAATTATTTAACAAATTTGCAAATCAGTTCAAAATAATAAAAGAATACATAAAAGGAGATCAAAAAAACTCAACCGGACTTACAAAAAGTTTTTTTGAAATGTCAAAAAAAAATTCATCTCAAATGCATGTACATCAGATTAATTCCTCACTTAACTTTCAATCACCTCTCGCAATAGTTCACCGGTCAGCTCTCTACAACGGACAAACACATTTGAAGAATAAAGTTGCCCGCCAGACCATCAATCTCAACAAATGAACTTCTTCAAAATTGCAAATTGCACTGAACATGAACAGCCAACTTTTTATTTAAGATTTGAATAATAAAAAGTTTTGGCAGCAGAATCAAAAATGAAAACAATGAATCTCAAAGTTACAAATTAATACTAAATTTAATTCAAATAAAATTCGAATAAAGCCTTTCAATTCATAATTTTTTTTAAATTCTATTTTCCAAAAATCAATTTGGTTTGAATGGATAGGATCTGAAATAAACATCAGACACACAGAGACACGCAGAAAGTGGAGTGATGCACGATTTGTCGGCTGGTGTTTCTAGAGTGCGGTCAGCACAATTATTGATGGACCGGCGAAGGAGATGCAGAGATTAATGTCGGACAAAATAGAGACGCATTAATTTCATGTTTGCTTGGCTGTGACTGATCACAATAAACAAAGAAGGAAACGCAAGTGTGAGTTCACAATCAACAATCTTGCACAAGTTTTTTTTTACGTCCTCATCTATTTTAGAAAAATTGTTTTGTCATAAAATCTATGCATGCACATTTCCTTACATGTTAATTCCCAGAATTCCATATATTCTTCTTCTTTTTTTTCGTGCTTTATCTTTTCAGGACATTGGCGACCATTGACCTCCACAAAACCAGATCTTTAACACTTTGTAGTTGTTGAAATATGGTGATATTCAACAAGTGACACAAGAACTTCACGAATGTTGTTCGTTGTTGACCGCGACCTCATTTCCCTGCAATTTTTCCAGTAGTTGTTAGATTTCCCATTCATTCCTTCCGCACGATGTGACCAGAAAACTTTAACTGCTCCAGTGGGATTATCTGTAGTAATTTCTTCTTTTCATATCAGGACTGTTTTAATACATCCTCATTCGAAGTATGAGAGATCCAACTAATTTTCCTAATTCTTCTCAAAAACCACATCCAAACAGCGTTAATCTTTTTTTTCCATTTTTTTAGTTTTAATTTTGTTGATATTTCAATTTGACTGTTGGTGAGAATGTCTTTCATTCTAGAATATGCGTTTTTAGCCAAAGCTATACGTTTTTTAATATACATATCCCATTCACAACCTGAGGTAATCAGACTTTTGAGATAATTGAACCTGTTGACTTGTTTCACCTATTCACTAATAATTATTATGGAGCAGATCGAGGTGGTTTTTGTATTGTTGATGTAAATTTGCAAACATATCCTTTAACTTTCAAAAACAAACCAGTTTGGAAACAATTGTTTGCAGTTCTTCCATTGAATCTGCCATAAGAACTGTATCATCAGCATATTATACATTGTTTATATTCACGCCTCCAATAGATATTCCAGGTAGATCTTTTACCTTTCTCATGATAATCTCGTTATAGAAATTGTACAGGTCTGGAGAGAATAAACAACCTTGCCTAACACCTTTCTTTTTTTCGACAAAACTTGCCATCTTGTTACCAACTTTCATCGCTGCTCTTTGGTGGTCCCAATAGACTAATAGAGGTTTTTGATAGCTTTCGTGTCTTTTTCATCAATGTTAAATTTTTCAAATGTTTTCATAAACTCCACGTGTTTCACGCTATTAAAAGCTTTGGAGTAACCAACAACACATATAGACAGGTCATTCTTCCTTTCAATCGCTCGTTCACTGATCATTCGTAACATAATTCCTCTACAAAACCACATTGGCCATTTGAAATTTCAGATCTTGTTTTGATTCGTACACTCATCATCAGAATTTTCATGAGAAGTTTTGTAAGATGACTCATCAAGCTGATTGCTCGATGTAGTTCACATTAGTTGCATTAGGTTTTTAGGCAATGCAATAAATATTAACTTGGATAGATCTTCTGGAATTTCGCCGCTATCATAAATCTCATTCAAAGTTTCTGTCACTTTTTCAATGCCAAATTCATCGGTGCATTTAATGTTTTCAACAACTATCTCATCTGAACCCGGCGCTTCATTTGATTTCATTTTGGTAAGAGCGCCACGGACTTCAGATCTATAATAATTAAAAAATTTAAACCCAAACAGCTTTCTTTAAATGCGAATTTTTGATAACTAAGTACCTAAAAATAAAAACCTGAACACATAAACTAACATTCACACAAAACATAACAAACACACACACACACACACACACACACACGCACGCACACACACATACACACACACACACGTACGCAGACACAACAACAAGACGTTGATATGTTCTTCTTCTTTCGCAATATTCAAATGAAAGCAGAAGAGAAATTCTGATGAAAAATGATAAAAAATGAAATCTCCCGTGCATCTGTTGTACTATTGTATCGTGATAACAGAATTTTGAAAAAAAATTCACTCTTATTAGATGGATTCATATAATTAGTGCTGTGCTATTTGGGATTGCATGTTTGGCGTTTGGATTGAATTGTGGGTCGATTGTTCATTTATTTACTGATTTTTTAATTTTATTTTTCTGTTTAAAATTAATTAATTAATGAGTAATAATTAATATGTGATTGTTTAAACCACATAGGTTTATTAATTGAATTGATAGGAACTGAATTTAATTCAATTATTGAATTAAATTAAATCATTCACTCATAAAAAATGTACACTTTCAGCTCTTATATTAATCACTTCAACGTATTAAAGTTCATTTCGATTGAAAAAAAATCAAGATAAAATTTGTTTTTGCACAGAGTTTTTAAGAAATCAAAATATAAAATTGAAAATTTTTAAATACCTATAATAAAATGAAATCAGGAAAATTAATTATTTTTAAGAAATTGTTAACGAAGTTTAATCTTTTATCAAATCCAAGCTTATAAATTCGTTCGATTGGTTTTTGATTAGTTTTGTTTGAGTGGGATGGTTAGTAGTTGGATGGTTGTTGTTGTTAGTGTTGTTGTTGAGGTTGGCAAAACTGTTGCTAAGAGCGTTGTTGTTGTTGTTGTTTGTGGTGCAATTTCTTTTTATGTCATCGTCGTAAGTGTTATTTGAGTGGACATTGATGAATTTGCTGCTGTTGCATTTCCTTTGAAATGTTGAGTAGAATATTTGCGAATGTCTTGTTGTGTCAACATTGTTGAGATCGAGGCCATTGCTGTTGCTGTTGTTGTTGATGTTGTTGATGATGTTGTTGTTGTTGATGTTGCAGCGATTTATGTTTTCATTGCTGCTGTCCCCATCGTTAATGTTGTTGTTTACGTCATTTCCGTTGTTGAAGTAGTTGTTGTCGATGTTGCAGAAGCAACAACAACAATCATTTTGACAGTTTGTTGAATTGACCTGGCAACATGACGTAAGTGTGTTGAGGTTTTCAATGTTGGCTGTTGGAGGTGAAGACTTGTGGAAAAGATGTTGCCCATGTATTGATACTCTGTGTGGTTTGTTCTCCTGTTGTTGTTGATGTAAAGTTGGTTGTTGCTGACAGAAAACAGACGAAGAA